ACTTGAGTTTTTTTACCCTTTGCCCTAAGGAGCACAGTCTTGGGGGTTACTCCTCAATCCATAGCTGCTCTCGGAAATTCTCAGATTTCCTCTGAGGTTAAAAGTGCTCCTTCTGACTGTGTTTAGATTTGTAATTTCTAGCCTGGCTTCCTGCGGTGGTCTTTACTTGGAAACATTATGCAGCATTCACTTTGCAGTATTTTGCATCTACTTAGTTGTCTATTTTTCATTAGAGTATTACAGAGTGGTACCTTTCTGTTCACTGTTAATGTGCTTGACACAGGTTGGCAAAGAGGGGCACTGTATACATGTACAAGTTGGGGTTTAATGGAGTTACTATATCCATGCCAGGAGACCTACAGTCTTTTTTTTTTTGCTATAGATTTATGGGTCATCCATGCTTGGAAAGTCATTTTAATTTCTCTGTACCTCAGAAATGAGAGTGAAAATCAAAGGGCAGCTGGGTTGCACTGAGAAAGCACTTCTATGTATATACATTTAGGGTAAACTGTCTAAAGAGATCTAAGCAGACTTTAATCTCTACTTTTCTAGTAATTTGTTGTGATTTTATTTCTTATTCTATATGTTTACTTTTATATCGAATTTTACATTTGTAATTTTGTATTCTTTTTCTTAAAAAGCTCCAATATTATATGTGCTCAAGGCACCACAAAACCTGGATGCTCCCTGTCCCTAATATGAATGGGGACTCTTAAGTCCAGGTAATCTATTTGTTGATAGAGCAGCGGTACCCTTTCTATCTGTTCCCTCTATCTGGGGGGTGAGAGTGGTGGTGGGAGAGAAGGAACAGGGAGACCACATTCTAGACAGAGGGACCAGTGAGGGCTGGTGACTGTGACACAGAGAGCTCTTCACACAACTAGAAACAGGCCAGTATAGTGACCGTACATTGCAAGTCAGAAGAGTGGCATCAGATGAGGCCCAGGGAGAGGCAGCGGCCAGGAAGACCATGGCCAAGAGCTGACATTTTATTCTAGTTACTGAAGGAAGCTACAGAGGGATTATGATATAGTTAAATTTTTAAAAGACTGGCTATTGTGAAAAGGAACTGTGGTGTGGCCAGAGTGAACTCAGAGAGACCACTGTGGTGTAGTTAGCTAGATGAGAGAGGGTGGTAGCAGTAGAGATGGTGGGAAGTGGTCAGATTTGATATAGAGATGACAGGATTGGCTGATGAATTAGATTGGATCTGGTGTGAGTGAAGAAAGGAAGGGAGTCAAAGATGATCCCCTGGTTTCTTACTTGATCATCTGGGTAGCTAGGGTACCACCTGCTGAGAGAGACTGGTTTTAGAAACGCTGAGGATGAGATGCCTGTGTTTAGTAGGTCTGTGGCTAGGCAAAGTTTACAAGAGAGACATGGACTGAAAACATAACTTTGGGAGACATGAGCAAATATGTTTCAAAACTATATAACATTAGATGAGATCACACAGAAGAGAATAGAGAGAGGAACTCCATCTATACTGAACGGTTAAGAAGGGAAGGAGCTATATGCAAAGCAGAGAAAAAGTAGCCAAAAGGAGGACAATCAGGAGAGGGTAGTACTTTGGAAGCCAAGAAAGAAGACTGGAAATGGTCAGCTGAAAATGGTCAGCAAGGCCAAATGCAACTGAGATGCTGAACAGGATAAGGACAGAAAAGTGACCTTTAGGTTATCAACAGAATTTAGTAGGCATTCTAAATTTAGTAGGCTGATGGAACTGAAATCAGACCGAAATGAGTTAATGAGGAATTGGGAAAACATAAACAGACCAATAACCATTATAGAAATTAATCAGCAGTGAAAAATCATTACTCTGCTGTCAACAACAACAACAAAAAACCACACGGCTTTTGGTAAGTTCTAGCAAACCTTCAAGATATAATAATAATTCCTGTTTTATACAAACTGCTCCAGAGCATATCACTCTCCCAAGCTCCCCCCGCCCCCCAAACCAAACCATTGCTGTCAAGTTGATTCTAAGTCAATGCAACCCTAAAAGACAGAGGATTTCCCATAGGGTTTCCAAAGCTATAATCTTTACGGGAGCAGACTGCTGCATCTTTCTCCTGAGGAGCAGCTGGTGGGTTCAAACTGCTGATTTCTCAGTTAGCAGCCAGCACTTAATCAGTAAGTTACTAGAGCTCTTTGTTCCAAATAATAGATTATTTTATGACAAAAACCAGACAAGGAAAGTATTGAGGGGTTGGGGATGGAATTGTAGGGCAATCCTTTTCAGTTCTCAGACTCTAAAAAAAAAAGCAAGTTGAATCCAATAATATAGGAAAATAATGGATCGTGACTAAGCAGAGTTTATCCCAGAAGGCAAAGGTGGATTAACATTAGAGAATTTATTAATATTAACATGTCAACACATCAAGGGAGAAAATGTCTTATCTTAGTAGACTCAGAATACACATTTGATGCAATACAAATACACACATCCATGATTTAAGCACTATTCTTTGTAAGCTGGGAGTAGAAAGGGTCTTCCTTTTGCTGATGAAGGCTATCTGCCATAGATTTAATATTTAATGGTGCCTCATTCTTTTTAAAGCCAGAAACAAAGCAAGGCTATCCACTGTCATTGCTCTATTCCATAATAAAACACAGTACATAGTAAGACAGTAAAATGTGATAAAAGTGATAAAAGTAGAAAAGAAAAAAACAATATCATTCACTAAAAATATGATTGCATGAGAAGGTTTCAAAGTTCAAGAAAAACTGAATTAAAAGATAATCTTTCTACAACTCTTTGAAGCCCCCTTGTATACCCAGACAATCCAAGGGAATCTAAGACAAACCATTGTAATATGTTTAGCAAGGTTGTTGGATACAATCTCAAAACCCAGAAATAAATGATATTCCTAACCAGAAATTGGATATTGTAATAAATAATTTACAACACCAATCAAAACTATAAGTAACCAAGGTCTAAGTATCTAATAAAAGATGTATAAGACCTTTATGAAGGAGCTCTGGTAGTGTACTGGTTATGAGTTGGGCTGCTAATCTCAAGGTCAACAGTTCAAAACTACCAGCCACGCTGCAGGAGAAAGATGAGGCTCCCATAAAGATTTACAGCCTCAGAAACCCTCTGCAGGGTCACTATGAGTTGGAACCGACTCCACAGCACACCACTGTCACCACCAAGACCTTTATGAGGAAAATTATAAAAGTTAAACTGAGGTTATATTGAAAAAACAAAAACAGAAAACAAAGCTATCCTGGTTAGTAGACAGAAAGAGTTGATATCATAAAGCTGTGAAACCACTCAGTTAAGATTAATAAATCAATCAAAGTCAAAACAGAATATGGCCATAAGTATGGTGGAATCTCAATATAAAAAAAGGCGAGGGCATCTTTTTCCTTTCTACAAAGGAACCTGACTTGGGAGTAACACTCCTAGCCTCCTTTCACTCACTCTCCCTCAGAGACGGAAGAACTTTCTGATCAGTGACTGCTACTGATTGAATTGTGTGGCCCCCCACCCCACCCCAAATGTGTGTCAATTCGACTGGGCCATGACCCTCAGTATTATGGAGTTATCCTCCATTTTGGTGATTGGGTATAATTGTCCTAAGTGTTATAAATTCTAATCTCTCAGATGTTAATAAGGCTGGATTAGCAGCAATTATGTTGACTCTACCTTGAGGTTGTGTCCTGTCTGCCTAGGTTGTAGTTTGAGTTAATCTCTTTTGAGATATAAAAGAGTTAAACAAGTGAGCAGAACCACCAAGAAAGACGAGCCAGGAGTAGAGCATGTTCTTTGGACCCAGGACCCCTAGGCTTAGAAACTCCTGGACCAAAAAGAAGATCAAGACACACGAAGCTCTCCAAGGAATGCTGGGCCCACAGACGCTGAAAGGAGACAAAGAACTTCTCCTAAACTGAGTTGACAGAGAGAGAAAGCCTTCCTAGAGTGGGTGAATTCAGACTTCTAGGCTGCCAAACTGTGAGAATAAATTTCTGCTTGTTAAAGCTATGCACTTGTAATTTCTCTGTTATTGCAGCACTAGATATATAAGACAGTGAGTTTAGACAGAAAAACAAAAACCAAGGCTTCTTGGTTCACACCTGTCAGTGTTCCTGTAGAACAGTCATCGTGCTGCTCTTGGTCAGGTAGTCAAGGATAGAAAAAGAGCTGAGATGAGAAGCTAGTGCTTCTTACAGGAGACACTACTAATCCAGTTGTCTAACTCTAGAGCCCTGGGTTCCACTCACATGATGTTGTAAATTACTGCCTATCACCCAAAGATTCAAACTTCAAGAACCACTCAGTGGCTAGAGTCAATAGCTTTCCGTTTATTTAAATGAAGTAAATCAATCTAATGTCTTCTTTGCACCAGACTCCCTGACCCCTGCTTTTTCAAAGGGTTGTGTCTATTCTGACAAAACACTTTGAAGCAACAGCTTGCTCTCCTCATTGTACAACAGGCACTGACACCAAATACAGGAAGCATTCTAGTATTTCTCAGACAAGGTTTTGACCATCTATCTACCTGACACTCTCCTTGTCTTCTGTCTTCCCCTGACTCCCAGAGTCCCTGCCTTCCCTGACTCCCAGAGTCACTGCTGTCCTCTTACTCTCAGAGTCACTGTCTTCCTCTGACTCTCAGAGACTGTCTTCTCCTGACTCCCAGTCACTGATCCTGATGTTTACTCTACAGTCATGCCCTTCCCTTGTTCTTTGGAAAAATCCAGGGACTCCGTTTTTCAATCAAGTGCTGTTATCCTGTCTCTGCCTCAGCAATACACTCAAGGGTTCCTTGCCCTGTCAATCCCCAAATGTTCAAACAACATCCCCTAACCTCCCCGGCTGTTTGTTTCCCTCTCCTGGAACTTAGCCCTCTGAAGGATGATACAGCCTTTTCTCCTGATGCCTCATTATATAAGAAACTCTGTAAGGTAAATATGGGGTAATGTGGACATGTGGGAAAGTTTCTCAGATCAGTATCCACAATAGAATTTCTGTTATCAGAGATAAAAATACTCACCACCTGACCATTAGTCCATGCTCCATGAAGTTTTTCAGGTTAGGAAGGGTTTGTCTCAAGTCTGGAGTTCCTAGTCCATGTTGATATCTTAGCTGCAAAAGGAGAAAACAGAATTAAAAATTCTGGCAGAAACTAGGTGATGCTTCAGAAAAATGGTCCACTCAACAGGTTATTCTTTGAACTCTAACAGAAGAAATATGAATGTGTGATCTCAATATCATCAACCACAATGCTGAGATGATTTTTATTAGTAAAGTAGCCTCGTCATTTACTGGTGTCACTGGGGTAGTGCAAATGGTTAATGCACTTGGTTATTGATCAGAAGGTTGGAAGTTCAAGACCACCCAACAGAAAGGCTTGACAAACTACTTATGGGGGCTGGTGGGGGGAATCAGTGATTGAAAACTCTATGGAGCCTCAATGGATTGATAATCAGAACATGACTAGAGGAAGATTAAAAAAATTTTTTTTTGATAAAGAAATGAGGGTAAATTGCTATAATCTGATGAACTTGACCTATACTCATGGAGGTAGTAACTCTAAATACCAACAGAGAGGGCAGGAGTCTTCACATCAAGTATCAATGCTATCCCCTCTGTACACAGAGTAGATAGGGATGGGCAACTTAGATATTGTCTACCTAAAATGATGGGGCCATGGAGGCACGAAGTGACTGGCTTACAAGTTTTAAGAGTGTGGGGGGAAAGAAAGAGTCCCCACTGAATAGTT